TACGTTCATCTCTCATGTTGGACGTTACCTTTATTTTTTGAAATTTTTGATATTTCTCTACCAGACTCTTTCTTTCCTTTCATCGAGACGTTCCTCTCATTACAGATCAAGGACATACTGTTGACGATTAGAGATAGCCACAACTACTACACGAACCGTCCGGAAAACGCGATCCTTCGATACTACGACGCGCAAGGGAGCAAAATTACATTTTATTACGCCTGTATGTAGCGTTGTATACGTGAGATTGCAAAAGCGGCGGAGCTTTCCTTTCTTTCTTTCTTTCTTTCCTTCCTTCCTTCCTTCCTTCTCTTTTGTTTCACAAGCAAAGTCCACGAGCAAAGTATAAAGATCCGTCCACTTTGGTTTCAGCATACGTCTATGTGACAGTGATGGCTTACATAACGATACCAGCAGTATCACTAATGCTCGATCTCGTCGGAGCTTCGTCGAATCATTCCGAGGAGAAAAGCTTCCCCATCCAACTCGATTACGGCGTGGACGCGCAACGATACTTTTATTATCTGTTTGTACATTCGTACCTGACGATAGCCATAATCGCCAATTTAATCGCTTCTTGCGATACCACGTACATGCTGTACGCGCAACACGCTTACGCATTGTTTGCAATTGTCAGGTGGTAGAAATTTGCATTTCTATTGCCTCGTGAATTATGTCGCGTTTCCCGACGTTTCTCATTCCAGCAACATTCGTTTCTTTCTTTCTTTCTTTCTTTCTTTTTCTCGTTGCAGCTACCAACTGAGAACTGTGCACATTTTAGACACAAACGTCTCGCTGAGGATCCTCGCACACGATCCTCGGAAAAACTTGCTCCAGAAGCAGGCAAATCGTGTGCAACTATTACCGGAACAAGAGAAACGAATACACGGCAAACTGTTCCTTTGCGTAAAAAAACATCAAAATGCAATCAGGTCGGTGTGTGCAATCTTGACTCTAGATAGAGTCACAGCAATTTCCTCCCTTTCTTAGCTTAGATATTTTCATATTTGCAACAAAATATTGTATTGTGAAATTGTTTTCGCTCGATACGTCGGATCTTATTGCGGAATAAGTTTGAACAAGTTTGAACGATGATGATAATTCCTTGAAAAATATCTCAAAATTACACGTTACACTGTCAATTATATATTTTCGACTCTACTGTTT